CCGTCATTCGCACATATATAACTATAACTCTATGCGAATGACGAAAATTACTGTTTTATTGTGATTGGTGGCAACTCAGTTTTATCTATGAGTCAGAAAACAGCAACTGACCTGCTCCTGCTGCAGTTAATTGGTTAACTTTCAAGACAGTTTTCAAAACCCTGTGATCTTACTTGACATACACATTTATAACTAACAGAAAAAGCTTATATTCTGTTTCAAACTTGTAACTGTTTTTGTGAATTTGGCAGCCACAGACATTAGTCCAGATGAAGTGACTGATGTGTGTGTATGTTTGTATGTGTGCAAGTGAAATTGATGCTCAAGGCATTAAGGACTTTTTTAAACTTATTTATAGCTTAGTTAAAAAGCCAGTTAAATAAAGTTGGTTTTGTGCATTCTATTTTTTTGATAAAGTTTGTTTTATTCTTTTGTTGCAGGTTTGTCATTAAACTTACAAGAGTGCATTAAAATTATCTTGTTGTGTGGACATGAAGGATGGACACAGAGAAATAGCTGTGGAGTTCAATAACAAACATCCGAAAAGAAATCCAATATCTCAATCATGCTGTATCATTTACAAACATGTTTCGAACATGGCAGTGGCCATTTTGAACAAATATTGTAACTATGTCTTTAAATAAAATATATTTAAATTGATTCCAGACTTTATAGACAGACACCTTGTAATATAGGTTTAAACGGCAGAACTATTGGCAATTTCTGAAAGAGAGGATGTTACAGGTGGGCATGACAAATGGTGTCTAATTTTCTATTTTATAGCTCGGTAACCAAATAAGATTGAACACTATAACATTTTCCTGAGTGATGACAACATTATAATGAGCAATTTACATTAAATGTTATACTTCTTTGAGGGGGGTAAATAAATTAGAGAAGAGGGGATGCCTAGAGAGTAAATTTCACAATTCTCACACTAGGGAAAATTCTAATTTTTTTAAGTATTGCCTTACTAAAAGTAAGATCTTAAAATTTATATACTATTAAAATATGGATTATTAGCTATGCTTTTATGCTACATTTATTGGTATACCATGAAAAGAAAGTAGTTTAATAAATTGTAAACATAACTCACTACAATCTCATAACATGTGCAGAAAAAGATGTCCATGGATAGAGGGTTAATTATTTTATTTGTTTTGAAGGCAAAACTATTCACAATCCCAGACACACTGGAAATGGTTAACAATAGGTGTTGAGTAAAATATAAAACTCACAACGTTTACAGATTCCAAAATAACCACAGATGGCAAATGGAATCCTAAAACTGAATATATAGCGCTATGCTGAAGGTCAAATAGCAAAAACGTATGAAGATTTATCCCCATGCCAGCCTCTAAGGTGTATGATAAATGAAACAGAGACCAGAAGGCCCAAATAATAGCCAAATGGTGAATGTGAAGAGATGTAATCTGAAACCAACACTTAAGGTGGTCAGGAATATCATGATAAACAGGGAGTAGCAGCTGCACAAAATAATTCACTGATGTGGATGGAGCAAAATCTATGGAACAGGAATTGTCGTAAGTTATAAACAATCTATGTTGATTCCCTCAAAAATATTCCATAATAGGAACAAACAGCAATGACCAGATGTAGAAAATGTTCTTCAGGAGGAGAATCAATGTCATAAAAGTATGTAATGACCATCTCTTAATGTCTCTGATAGAAGGCTTTAGCAAGATACAAGTACACAACCTTCCTAGAAAAAAGATAAGAAACATCAATGACAAAAATATCCCACCATCTCCTCCCAAAAGCAAGTAACAAAATATGTCTCCAGGGAAAAAAGTTAAAAAAAAAAAGAAGTTCAATAGAAGAAGCCAGGTAACTTAAGACCAGACTTCAATCCAACTGAGAACATCTAGATAACCATGGAATACATAAACAAAAAGTACTGAAATCATCTCACATGGCACAAGCATCCTCACATGTAATGGAAATAGGTTCAATATTGAAAATATAAATTATATGAGAGAAAAATAAATTAGACTAGCAGTAATGTTATCAGGAAGGGGACTACCACTGCAGCAGAAAAATCCAGACCCACAGACTCTGATGGCAATTAGGCTTAAGAAAAAGATCAATTATTATCAGAAACAAAAGAAAATTTAGAATGTTAAACAAATTAAGTGTCCACATGATTGTGACACAGGCCAGAAATACCAGTATACAAATAGCCTAAATACACTGAACAATAAGGGCTGAGAACTGTAACAAATTTATTATGTATTTATTTTTAGTATGCACATTGTTTAGAATAAATTTGTATTTAAAAATATGCGTAACTTATAGTGTCAGATATGTATTGCGTGTAACGAATTTGTTATATATTTATTTTAATGACAACGTTTGTTGGGATTGAGTTTATAAGTAAAAACACGCCTAGCTTACAGTGTTAGTTATGTACGGCGAAACTCCTACCAATTCTCCAAGATTGTAGAATATTCATGAATGCAAGAATCAACAATATGTCCACTTCCTAACCGGTTAAATATAGTTCAGTATTGTTCTTGTGCCTATAAAAGGCGACGCACCAAAAAAAAGAGAAAACATACAAGTCTGCTAGGAAACTGTTACAACCGTGTACACTATAAACAGCAATTTTGCTATCTTTTACCAACCAGAAAATATACAACATTTGACCAGGAACAGTTATAAATTTTGAACCTCAGTGAATTCTCATCAAATGTTAGTATCTTTCCAAAAATATTACTGGTTTCTCATCGGACATTAATGTTTTTATGAAAATATTACCTTACTTCAATGGTCCATATATCGACTTCAAGTTAAATCATTGGATATCAAGGAGACTCTGAACTAGGAAGATGATTTAGGCTATTTGTAAGTTAGTGAAATTTCTGTTTATGAAATTTTGTTTGTAATAATTAATCATAATAGTTGCTATTGTAAATTATACAGTTTTGTATATATATATATTAAAACGAAGACGGTGTGTGTCAATCTTGTTGGCAGATAGCATAAATTAACTAAAATATTGGCTTTGGACTATTTGAAATTTTCAATACGTAACATAATGAATTGGGGGCTCATCCAGGATCTGAATCAGAGACAAAATTCGGTCTAAATTATAATTTAAATCATAATTGAATTTATATTTATCAGTGCAAACAGGATTTGATCATGTTGGATTATCAAGATTTTCTTGTATCACCCTCCCTAGAACAACTGGTAAAATATAACAAAAATGAATTGCTTGAAATTGCCAAAGTTTTAGAACTGGAAGTTAAAAGGTCAATGAGAAAAAAATGAACTAAAAAAGCGTATTATAAAAATACTAGTCAATGATGATTTGTTGCCTGAGGAAGCATTAGGGGAATACTCTAGTGTCCCTACTAGCCAATCAGGGTTGAGTGATAAAGATAGATTAGAGATTCAGCTAAAACTCAAACAAATCGAGCTCGAACAAATTCGTATTGAAGCTGAGAAAAAACAAATTCAAATTGAAGCTGAGAAAGAAATTAGGCTGAAAAAAAAAAAAGGAAATTAGACTTAACTGCGATCGACCAAGGCAAAATAACAACTTTGAACTTAATCGATATGTTAAAGTACCGCCGTTCAATGAAAATGAAGTAGATAAATATTTCCAACATTTTGAGAAGGTTGCCCAAATCATAGAATGGCCCACCGAAAAATGGTCATTATTATTACAAAGTGTCTTAACCAGTAAAGCACAAGAACTTATGCCACTCTCTTTTTAGAAGATTGTACAAATCATGATAAGGTTAAAGCAGCTATTCTCAAAGCATACAAGTTAGTACCGGAGGCTTATCACCAAAAGTTTAGAGGTTATCGGAAACAAGATAATCAAACTTGTATGGAGTTTGCCCACGAAAGGAGGTTTATTTTGATCAATGGTGTAATTCGATACATATTGGCGATAGTTTCGACAAACTAAGACAATTATGTCTAATTGGTGAATTTAAATGTTGTGCAAGTGACAACCTCAAAACTTACTTACATGAAAAGAAAGTTGAAATGCTACAGGAATCAGCTGCTCTTTCCAATGACTATACTTTAACACTTAAACTGCTTTTCATAAAAAGAAATTCCTACCATCTCAACAAAAACCTGTATCTGTTCAATCCACTAAAGTTGAGGATTCTTCCAAAAAATCCAGCTTCCCTAGTTCTTTATTTATTATTATAAAAGTAACTAAAATGTAAAAATTAGAAACTTGTTAGGTTAGACATGGTAAGATAATGAAAAAAAAATCTTAACAACGTATGCTTGCAAGCAGCCTATGTGTTAAATAATTTGATATAGTAATGTGAGCTGTATGTTCTCAGTGTGAGTTACAGCCTGTTTGGGGGGAATTACAAGTTATGCACAGTTCAAATGTCAATAAATCAACAGAATTAGGTATAAAGAGTTCTGTACTGTTACAAGCCTTAAGATACTTAGGATAAACAATTGCAGTTTCCTGTTACAGTTTATAGTCATTCTAGAAAGAAAAAAAAGGTAATTTAGATTTATTTCCTAATTTTTTAAGGTGGTTATGAGATTGGTCAAGTTGACCAAATAGGTATAGAGTTAGGGTAGTGAAAATAGCAAAAACTTTATGTTTAATCTGAAAAACAAAAGTTTGATATTAATTTAAAAGGTTTAAGAAACTAAGCAAATGAAATTTGAAAATTTTCAGATGAAGAAAAGTATTTTTAATTATAACATGAAAATCACTTTGCACTCAGACCAGTCAACATTCTTACTCCATATATATATCTGTGGACAACTTTCAGTAAAAAATTAAAAATTCTGATGTTTTGTCTATGAAAGAGTTTTAATGTTTACTGACAGCTTGCTGATTTTCATGTACATAACATTAAGTACTTTCAGAGTTATAGTATGTATACCTTCAAGGTTCATGTTACTTACATGGTGGTTAAGAGGCTGTGTAAAATACACAAGCCTGTTGCAAAAGAGATAAACATTAATGAAAAACTGATATATTATTTAACCTGATCAAAGGCATCAAATCCATTTTTGATGATTTCATTGAATGGTACTTCCAAGGCACTTGCAAACTCTTCCACCCTCAGAGAGGAACCTTGAACTTGGAGGTAATTTGTTAGAATCTTTGTTTCTTCTGGAATTGTCTCCATCTCCAAACTGGGGGTTTACAGAAATTTAATTAGCTGGTATACATTGACACTGCAGACAACAGGGAAGAAATTGAGAAACAAATTTACCATTTAAATTAACATAAGAGTTCATATTTCAGAAATAAATTTATAGTTTATTAAAATACAATAACAACAACTGTTAAAATAGGCAAGTTCTGATTTTAATAATTACATCTGGGCTCATGGTAACAAGCCATCATCAGGTAAATTTCATTCAAGAGTCAGTCAATACTATAGACTAAAACATTAAAATTATTAAAATCCAAACTTGCCTATTGTAAAAGTTGCTTATATTGTATTTTTTGAATTAATTATGCAATTCAGTAGGTTCTTCATTGAACATTAAATTTATAATTTAATGTAAAATATTATACAATAAATATATCCCGAATCAGTTTAGTATTACGAAAACTTAATGACACTGAGATTATCTTAAACTAAAATGTTTTTCTAATCAGTTTCTAATTCAAAACTAAATCTTCCTTGTATAAATTTGTTCCATTCAGAGTTAAACAATGACATTAAAACATTTACTACAAATGAAAAACCTGTATTCAAAGACCTAAAAAAATTCTTTGCAATACCTAAATGAAAAAACAATTAGATGTGCATTTATAAGCTAACAGCACCATATTTTAATAAGAATTTAACTAAACTAAAGATTTTAGACCTTTCAGATAAGTAAAAAAAACAAACCTACACAGATTAATAAGGTGTAAATTAAAACTGGAGACATTTTGAGTGGCATATACATTTGAGACATTGGTCAATAATTATAACAATAATAGATCTATTGGTTCTTCTAGGCCATCTTATGCACTAAAGTAATCACTAAAAAACACAGTCAGCCCTCATCATTCAAATACTTATCAATCTTTTCCTTAAACTCCCTTAAATTAACTGCATCTACCATTTGAAGGCAGCTCGCTCCATAGTACAACCATCTAGTTAGAAAATAAAGCTATCTTTGCTGAAGATGACTCCTAATCTGTCAAATGTATATTTGTGTTCCCTAGTTTTACCATTCTAACCATTAAGTATGAAAAAAAACAAAGATGATGCATCAACATTATCAATCCCCTTAACAATCTCAAACACTTCAATCAGATCCCATCTAACTCTTCTTTTTTGAAGAGAAAACAATTTCAGAGATCTTAATCTCTCCTCATATGACATCATTCCAACAATTCAATGTATTTTCTAAAGAAAGGAGCCAAAGATTGAACACAATACTCCTAACATGGGCTAAACCAATGACATTTTAACTTCTTTAGAACTGTATTCAGTATTTCTGTAGATACAACCTAAAATCCGGTTTACCTGGCATTGCTTGGATGGCTTAAGAGACTGATGAACCAGAACACCAGGATCTTTTTCTTCCATAACATTGTTAAGGTTATTCCCATCAAAATTATTCTTATAATTTAAACTGTGATATCCAACATGTATAACCTTGCATTAATTATCATAAAAGGCCATCTGCCATTTATTTGCCCAACTTAACAAATAATTCAAATCCTTTTGTAAAGCAGCAGGATCTTCCTCAGAGCCAGCAACACCCAAAAACATCAGCAAATTTAAATAATCTATTTATCATTCCTTTATCTATGTCACTGATGTAAATAAAAAAAGAGCAAAAGTCCTAAGATTGGACTCCATTTACAATAACCCTCTGCTTTCTTCTAGCTAGCCAGTTTTTTTTATCCAATGAGCCAACCTATCCCCTAGTTCTACAGAAATCTTTTAACCAGTCTTATATGGGGCACCTTGTGAAATCCTTTCAGAATGTCCAGATACACCAAATCAACACCCATATCCTCATATACACAAGCACTAACCTTTTCAAAGAATGTCAAAAGATTAGTAAGACAAAATTTCCCCTAGTGAAACCATGTTGATGATCCAACAAAATTTTAAACTTTGTTAAATTACTTTGCAAAGCATCTTTTTATCAGACTTTCAAAAAATATTTTCACCACTGATTTAAGATTAATAGACCTGTAATTACTGGGACAATTATTATCATTTCCATTGAAAAAAGGAGTAACATTAGCCAATTTCCCATCTTCTGGCACCTACCCATTATTCAAAGACTTACAAAAAATAGTAGCAAGTGGCTCACATATCCAATCATTAACCTCTTTCAAAACCCTTGGATAAATATTATCTGGCCCAGGAGCTTTATCATTCTATAAACTTCCCAATTATTTTATTACAAGCTCAGAATTGATGTGATCATCTTGTTCAATTTTGTTTCCATTTAGCAACTATTCAGGATTAGGAATATTTCTTAAATCTTCTTAAGAAAAATTGAAGAAAAAGTAGAATTCAATATTCCAGCCATCGCAAAAGATATTAGTCTTCCTGTATCATCTCTCAAAGGCCCTACACTCCCTTCAACATTTCGCTTACCCTTAATGTATTTGAAGGAATCTTTACTATTAATGTTTACATTTTAGGCTAGCCTTTTTTTTTTCATATACTTTTTAATTTCCTGTTTGACCAACTTTCTTGATCTTCTATAATTCTCCAAATTTCCCATGATTGCAGTCAATTTAAATTACTTATCTTTATAATGCTTTTCTTTAATTTTATCCTTTATAAGTCAATCTGGTGTTTTTTTCAGCTATCCTCTTGTTTTTCTCTCAGAGACGTCCCTCTTTTGAATATTCAATAACTTATTTTTAAAATGTTTACATATTTGATAAGTATCTCTAATTAATTCACTTACCAACTTCACAACAGACAATTTTTGTTTTATCTGTACAAACTTTATTTTCTTGAAGTTTGGAATCAAAATCTCATTATTCCTTATCTCCATATAGAGGAAAACATAAAATCTAATCAAGAAATGATCACTTGCACTCAGATGTTCTACTATCTCCACCCTATCAACCATTTCTCTATAAATAAATCTAAAATAGCATTATTTCCAGCAGGTTCCCTAAATAGCTGTTGAAGAAAAACCATCCTGAACAGTTTGTAAAAAACCTGCCTCCCTCATGATTTGCTTCTAACAACTAGAAAATGGGGAGAAAATGCAGTGAAAAGTTCGGAGGAGCATCAACACTACAGACAGTGCAAGGGGAGACCATAAAAACCCTATTTTGAAAAGCAGACTACTCCTAGTTCATTAAGTCTATGGAATGGCAGGGCAACTATCCCCTTCTGCTTTACTCATGGGTTAATATGGTCTGGAACAAGCATATAAATGAACAAATATATCATGAGCAAAACCTACGAGTTATCTTGTGGAACACCCCATCTCAATAGTGTGCATTTAGTGGCCACGGAAATGATAATTAAGTCATCACAGCCTCACAGTACAGATTTTACTAGTTTAACTATACCTGGACAGGCACCACTCCCCACAGAGTGGGATCCATAAAGAAAAAAATGGGACATGCCCCTGAAAAATAAGAGGAAAATATATACAAAAAGGTATCTTACCCAGTCACAGTATCACTGAAGAGTGAAGGATAGTGACAGGTAGAAGAAAGTACCCCAACGAGAAAGAAACAGCTACCCGAAGCAGATAATGAGAAATAAATGTACGAGGTTTAGTCCCAGTGCTCAATGGAAGAAGTACCTGCAACATACGATGAGGGTGAGATGTAGGTAAAAGGGAAGGTGCCTAATCAGAGTGAAGACACCAGAAATTGATTATGGGAAAAAAAGACACAAGGAAGAAAAGATCAATCGAATCAAAAGCCAAATCCAAAGGAGGAAGGAAAAAGTCACAAACAAAGGAATTGTGCCAGGGAATGAAACAGCAGGAAAGAGAACCAGAGGAAAGAAGCCTTGAAGGTAATGAAGCAACCGAGAGCAGGTACGGGACATAGAAGGCCAACTGGATCTGACTGGGATTAAAAGTGGGAGATAAAAGGAAACGAAAAGGAAGAACATGCCCAGTGAGCCACCAAAGTGGAGGGTAGGAAAAATCGATCCAGAACAAAAAGGACAGATTGAGCTGAAGCAGCAGAGAAAACCAGATCTGTGTTGCCCAGGAAAGAGCAGTCAGAAAGACCAGATGCAAAGTGACAAGGATGAATGAAATCACCCAGGGAAGATGATGAATGGGATGAGAAAATAAATGTATATATAGGTCCCAAACCTGTCTGAATGCAGACAGCCTAGGCAAGTGGATAAGAAACTGGAGACAAAGACACATAGATCTGAAACAAGCTCAAAGGGCAAGGCACAAAACTAGTACCCAATCCTATGATGAACAAACATTCAGTGCCACAAGGGAAGAAGAATAGGAACGTGGGCATAAGAATACAAAATGTCGACTGTGGGCATCCTCAGTCCTGGAAAAAAAAAAAACCATAGTGTGATAAAAGACAATATAGAAAAAAGGAAAAGATCCAAGAAGCGAATGAAGTTGGACAGATCAATCATAGAACTCCAATCTGCATCGAGAATACATGAGTAATGGAGGAAAGCTTAATGTAGGACAGGTAAATGATAAGAAGGTGGTAGACATGGAACATGAATAAAGAATGCAATGGCCAAAGAGACAAACAAGCAACAACAACAAAAAATCAAATGTAGCAATACAGATGCCCCCAAAAAAGGGACCAGTGGAGTAAAACAGCTGTCTGTAAGTCCCAACTTGGTACAAGACAGTGTCAAATCCCAGAAGATCCCAAAAGCAAAAAAGCCATGTTTGTAGAGAAAGAGGCAAAGATGGCAATCCCCCCATCATGGAGGTAAGGAGGAAGGTATCCCAAGAAATAGACAGAATGCCTCAAAAAGGAGGTGTATGGCAGCCAATACAGTAAGAGAGGCAACAGAGGAAGACTGGAAAACTTGACTAGGGAGAAAGAAATTAGATTATCAGATTATGCGCCCCATACAGGCAACAGATATTCAAAGTGCAGAGAAGCAAGAAAACAAAACAACAAAAAAATCTGCCTGATGGCAAGCTAAGGCAAAATGAACCAAAGCCCTTTGAGAGCAAGGCATGCCAGCACCATCTCTCAAAAGAGAAACGAAAAGTCCCAGCATGAACTAAAAATAAAATATCTGGAAAAGGGGAGAAAAAAACAGCAACTGTGAAACATGCATAAAAAGGACTGAGATAGGCCTAGCAGACTCCATAGTAGAGGCCTGGGAAAACCAATTCATAATCAGATGGAGGAAAGTTGTCAAAATAGACATTGTCCTGAATGAGTTTGGCAGTTTGTGGAGGCAAGTGAACAATAGTGGGAGAAGGTTGGGCAGACCCCAGACCCAGGGGTCCTTAAAAAGAAAATTAATTGTAAAATTAAGTGTATACTGAGAATAAAAAATTTAGTAGATGGTATTTGTTGAAGAAACAATATAATTAACCTAACTTAAGATTTACCAGTAAGATGAATGACAAGTAAGCCTAAAATTACAAAGACACATGGTAAGCCTAAGCTAATGTTGTAGTACAAAAGAACATCATTAAAAGTGAATTAAAAAAACTCTAATCTTACAAGAAGTAGGTACAAATTTAACTCATTGTATATTATTGAAACCAAATAACTACAAATAATAATATTAGTATCAAAATATTCAAAAAGCTATAACAATATAACAGCCTATCTGTCCAAAGGCGGTGGAACCAAATGTGTGGGCCACGAAACTCAAGGCCCGAGAAAGGTCAACTCATATTATGATCAATATCCCAGTGTATGAAAGCTGACAATTCCTCAGTCAAGTATTGCTACCTGAAGCCTAAGTAATTGTGCTGGAAGTAAATGAAAACATTTTCGAAATGGAAACATAAGCTTCAGTGAAAACCAAAAAAAAGGTGAAGAGCAATAAAAGTAAGTTATCACTTAAAACAGGTAAAGTGAAGTACAAAAAAAAAAGAAAATATTTCCACTTTGTATAATATAATATAAAAATATAATAAAAAAACCATGGAAAGAGAGCACAAACAAAAAATGTCTTAACGATAGCACTGCCAAACGAGAATTGATAGTTCGGTAGTAGAATCGAATAGATGGAGTTACATGCATCAGGAGGGTGTCATACTCCTATTGGTGAAGGGTTGTCACATGATGGTTTGCATGTGAGATGCAGTTGAACCATGTTCATCTTGGGGTTTATGGGAGCTCAAGGTTTGTGACATGCAAAAAAAAAATTTGCATATAGAGAGCAGCACTGAACGAGAGTAGCTATTTATGTGAGTGGAGATATGTACAGTACTGGAAAACTAATTTTTACCTTATGTTTATGTTTATTTTGCCTGATATATAACTTACCAATAAGTGAAATTAGCTTACTTTATGGCTAAAATCATGCTACATTTGCTAAAACAAACTGTAGATTAAACAGTATTAAACTGAAGATAAATGTAACATCAAATCCTCAATTAACCAATGTTTTTATCACTAATTTCTGTCAATACCACAGTTATGATGTACATTACATTTCTAGTTACACACAACTAAATACTAATTTGAACATTTACAATGTATTAAAGACTCAGCAGTTATCAAACAGTAACAGAAACAGTAATTTAAACTTTTAAGTTAAAAAATTTTCTTTCTTATTTAGTAACACTGGTGAAAACTATTTTAATCTAATATTTAATAACTCTGTTATCCTAATCCATTACTAGTAGTAGTAGTAGTAGTAGTAGTTAGATTAAAAAAAAGCCTTATTATCTATGATAGTATCAAGCCTAATGTTGTAACTTTATTATTAGCTATACCTGTAGTAATAATATCTAAAAGTGTCCAATCTTAACTAAACTAAATAAAATACTCTAAAATAACAACTCTAGACTTTAAAACATTGAAAATATACCTATCTTCTGCAGGAGAATGCTATAACCTACAGCTACAATTATTACTTTGTCTTAGAGTTCAAACCTTCCATCCATTACTCTCCTTTAACTTTGTTTATTGAAGCAAGTTTCTTTTTGCCACAGATTGTGAAATATTACTAATACACAAATTTATTTTATCTAATAATGTAAAACTGCATTCTAGATCTAATAAGTTAAAAACAAGAAAGTATAAAGCAGTACCTTCAAAAGTGTATCATAAAAATAAAATCAAAAGGAAAATACACTTACTTTAATCTGCTTCTCATTTTCAACAGCTTGATCACAGCCACAGTTTGAGGTAAATTTTGCTTTTGGGCCATTGTGATATACTGAAGATCATCAAATGAATAACAAGACACTGGCAAGTCCAAGGCTCTGTTAATATATTACATCAAAATAAAGTTTTAAAGGAATATATACACAAAAGTGATAATAATAATAAAAAGTTCATATTAATACCTCAAATTTTATAATCATTTTTAAGCAGTTGTTTGTTTATTTTCATAAACTTAATTAATCTTATTAGTTTTATGTAACTGTTAAGTCACTTAGCTCAAAAACCAAAATATTAACATTTTCCTTATATGAAAATGTATTGCAGATAAATACCTTCTGTACTCTATTAAGAGCTATTACCTCATGTGCAACTGCCATGGAAATTCTTGCACGTGCCTCAAGTCTTGAACAAACTCTCACCTCTACACGTGTCTATGGGTAATCCTTTAGAGTATAATATAATTGTCATGATGATATAGTCCTCAATCAATAAGGGGGTGACATAACCCCCTTACAAAATGTCCTATAGGAGTTCTATAAAATCCTATAAGACATCCTAAGTGATTCAATAAGATCATATGAGAAATTTAAAGGACATCACTATATCCTTTATGTGTAAGACCATTAGTCCAATAGGACAAACTGCCATCCTATAAGATACGAAGTAGGTTTATACAGTCTTATAGGACAAACTAAAGTCTTATATGATACAGACAAAGTTAAAATCAGTCCAATAGGACAAACTGCCATCCTATAAGATACGAAGTAGGTTTATAGACAGTCTTATAGGACAAACTAAAGTCTTATATGATACAGACAAAGTTAAAATCAGTCCAATAGGACAAACTGAAATCCAATAGGAAACAAATTAGAAACCGATTCATGATGGGGAAATTGAAGCTTAATAATGAAGATGGTTAATAAAACATAAAACATTTTATTTAAACGTTGCAAATAAAATATTTTATGTTTTATCGACTGTCTTCATCTTCATTATTAGGGAACAAATTAGGTTTAAACTCAGTTTTATAGGGCAAACTGAAAAATCTTACAAGATACAGAAGACAGATTCACTAGACTTGAAACACTCTTAATAAAAAACAAATTACCACTTGATATATCCTGCAAGTTTTAGATCTTCAAATTAGTGTTTCCATAAATATAACATAGAACTATATTTTTGTTGGGCTTAGTGAGTTTTTTTTTTTTTGGTCATTGGATCACCAGTTTCTAGTGATAAGGTTATATGAGAGAAAATAAATCATAATCAGCACTATATAGAAATTTCCTAAAATTCTGTCTTAATTCCAAACATTCTTGGAGAGCATTTTAATCTTTAGAAATAGTTATCACATATTGTTTAAGACATAAGAATTAACCAGCATTAGTTTTACTAAGCAATTAAATATTTTATAAATTAATTTTAATGAAAGAAACATATAAAAATGTCAAAGAAACATTTTATTTTCAAAAATATCACATATAATACACATTTAAATACATCTATTAAGTTAAAGACATGATATTAAACAAAGAAAACTTTGACCATATACATTACACTAGCCATTTTAGTTAAACACTAAAATCAGTATGTGTTTCCAGTTAGCTTAATACATAATTGTATAGGTAAATTTATGTATAATCATAGAAAAATTTAAAAAGTTCAATGTAGGATTTTTATTTAATTTCTCTCTTTTATGTTTGTTATCACTTTTCATTTTGACACATTTCTTTTTAATATCTTTTACAAAAAATGCATCAATTCACTGAACTTCCTTCATTTCCATTAAAAGATTTGTGGAGATATTTATAGGTGCTATATTAATAAAATCTTTAACTTTTACTAATGGTTTTACTAGAACAATACTAGTGTCTTTATGAATTCCACACATTTCATTTTTACAATTAACTACAATAGCAGCAATAATGTCCACAATTTTGCAATTTTCAAACTCTACTATAGAGTTTGATCATTTTGTATTTCTTTTATTGCTCTTTGTATGGTGTAAAACATGTTGAAAAACAAATCTGTTATAAAAAATACCCATTTCCCTCAAATTACATGTTTAACCAAGCAATCTACAAATAGCAATATATTCAATAACTGAAATTTTATACTCTTCTGGAAAACCAAGAGTGATTAATTCACTACCAAGTTTTCTAGAATGTAACAAATGAATCCTCATAGAGGCTATTAATATGTTAAGCAAACAGCTCGCGTGTTCATTTTGTGTTTATAAAATTCTTGTTTGTTTCTGAATTTCTTGCAGAATACAGTAAGTCTCACAGATCTGCTTGGAGATGTACTGTTCCTTTAAAAATGTTTTTTTAAAACGTTGTTATAATCGTCATATATAAAAGCAGAGGTAGACCACAGTGGTCCCTAATAATAACCACTTTTTGAAAAAATGTGTAACAAAAAAAGGAATGTTAACTGTAATATAACATTGTCCATACAGAATTTCAGTCTCTTCCACAAGCCTTCTTAGGACAAATTCCACTTTTTTCAACAGTTAATTTGGCTATTGAATCATCAAGAAGTTTGTAAACTGAATATTCATATGTTATATGAATATAATCTAAACAATGAACTACAAAATGGTCTTGATAGAAGATTTCTTTCGATACAGAAACAGAATTTTAAACCTACAACATGTCTAAAAGCACCCACCTTTCCCAAACCACAAACAAACTAAAGACCTCTGTTCTGTCATTACTCCATATTGCAGCTAGCATGTGATAATTGAAATGACAATGAAATTTTAAAGTTTAACGTAATTTTATATGTTTAAAGATAATTTTACATTTATCCAAATTCATTGTTTTGTTAACTAATAAATATCTAATGTACGAAAGTATTTTCTGATTTCGCCATTAGTCACATATTAGCTAATCAGACTGAACTTTGGAAACCAAAGTTTTAATGTAAGATTCATCATGAAGTTGAGCGTGTTACTGTTAAATAAAAATGCATTTGTTTTAATTGATTTCTTTGAAGAAAATGCTGTGGAAATAGGACTTTTACACTGGGTGAAAAACTTCAATAGGAATGAAGTTTTAAAGTTTTAGATTAAGGTAAAAAGTGTAGTTGAAGTTCAATGGCCAGAGGGTGGTTTAAAACCTGGAAGCAAAGGTAAACTAAGAAAGAAAAATTCAAAGTGGAATCCCTGTCCTGAATATATATATTGGCAGTTGATAAGTGTTTTAGCTTATACATTACTTTGTAGTTATTTTATAAATATAAACATTTAAAAATTACTTGTATTCATTGTATATTAAATCATACTTTACAACTTCAGTAATATTATTAAATATTTAATTTTAATGCAGTATTGGGTACTACTATTACTATTATTATTAAAGGAAATACCAAAAGTTGGAGACATACAAAAGGGGTGTTACTATGACAAAGATGTAGTTATGTTACACTTTCTAGAAATATATACATATTTAGAATATTTTAAATTGATATTTACTGCAATTACTCAGTTTTACACAATAGTTTTTCAGACTGAGGCATCAGAAACTTAACATGCACGACAACTGACATGCCCAAAGTGATAAAGACCAAACTTCAAGAGGTGTTTCATATTTATTAGAATCTATCATTGACATATAAAACTTTTATCTTTGAGAACAATTGTATGATGCATTGAACTTATATATTCTCTGTCTCTGACATCTAATTCATCTTGCTACATTTTACCTGTAAATATAATTTAACTATAAGAGAAAAGTATTTTTAAACATGAATTTGTTTAGTTCTTTAACACAACATATATATATTTATTGCAAAAAATGCACATGATCACCCCTTTTGTGTATCAGACTTTTTCGCCCCTGTATATTAACTACAACTAATACAAGATAGTGATACAGCGTACATTTCTGTTTCTAGAACTAGTATTAATTGTGCTATATGTAATATAGTATCATTTAGTAATTACATATTTCTATTTGTATATAATATTCATATATTCATTATTACCAATATTATGATAAAAAAACTACTATCACACAGTTTTAATTTGAAATTTTTTATAATTGTGCTGGTTTATCATTCTCCCATAGTTGTGTTGGATATCATAAACTAACCTTTACTAATATTTCATTAATTGTTCCATTTGTTAGCGAATTTGTTATACATTCTATCACAACTGGAATGATCTAAGATAAATATAAGAAACTGAAAATATATATAACATTTACCACTAGACTTTTTTAAAACATGTTTGTAATACTAGTTCATATATAATATTTTATAGGAAATGGTTGACCTCAGTAGTAAAATTAAAATAGCAAAGAAGAAGTTACAGTTATGAAATCATCACGAATTAGTGTCAGGCATGTTAAGAATTCTTCACACACCAGAAGAGTTATGAAAAATCATTGACAGGAATTCAGTCAAATGCACACAAAGGAAAATAAGAGAAAGAAACACTTGATAAAGACAACATTGATGCCATTGTAAGTAAGTACTGTTTTCACCAGATATATTATAAATTCTCACATAAAGTTTTTTCATAAATTAACATGTAAAAATGTTATGAAACAAACTTAAAGCATAATAATATCTGATAACTAACTAGTTGTTATTACTTTTTTAGTATATACAACAAAGAAACTGGCAACAACAGAAAGGGATGGGAAGGAAGCAATAACAGCCAAATTTAATAATGATGCAAAATTAATTCAATGAAAAAATTAGCCAGAAAATATCTAATCAAAATATTATGCCATTTTTTAAGTGAGAAATAAAAAACATTATTCTGTGAAATCTGTTATGATCATGTATTTATTAATTTCAACACAATAAATTTCAACTCTGTAAACTTACCAAAGTCACAGTACAAGTAGGTTACATAATTCTCATTAAATTTCATTCTCAAAATAAAACTAGTACATGAAATACTTTGGAAGTTGACAGGTACTTTCCTAAAACAAGTAGTTTCAGAAAAACAAATTATTCAACTTCTATTTATTTGAACTTTGAAATATTAGGAAATAACCCTTCTACTTGTACATTTTTAAAGACTACATTGTTACTATAGAAGGCACTCATTTGAAAACAAAATGATATATTGAGCTTTTTTTTAATAAATTTCATTAAATAAAATGATTTAGTAGAGACAATGTAATATTTAAAAAATCAAATCTGTAATATGAGCCATTTTTCTATGTTTCTACATTTTTTAAAATTAAGTCCTGTGATATTGCTCGAGGGAAAGACAAAATGGCTTTGGTACTCGTAAGGTAAATTTAAACAAAACATTTCAACTCTGTAAATTTATCAATGTCAATAGTATGTATATTATTGAAATATGAGAGTGTGCAATCTAAAACATCTTTTGTTTTAAACTTCAATTTTAGCTATTTTCAGTTCCTTTTAATTCTCTTATTATTCAATTTGTTTACATAAATTATTGATTTTTTTTATAAAGGCTATCATGAATGGAATGAACTTGGATAAGTATAAGAAACTGAGAATACATATAATAACATTTACTACAAGCACTCTTTTAAAACATTTTTATAATTCCAACTTAAGATGATATTAAGACAAATAAATACTATAAGTAGGCACATAAACCCATTGTGTGCATTTAAGTTGTCTACATATCTACTTATAAAATTTTAACAGTACAATTCTGCAGGTCTAGCTACAGGATGTGCTAGGTAAACTCTATAGTTTACTGTATACACAATCCCACAGAGTGTCCTATATGCAAATCCTATAGGATACTCTATAAGAAATTCTATAGTGTACTGTATAAACAATCCTATAGTGTGTCCTATATGCAAATCCTATAGGATACTCTTATAAGAGATTCTATAGTGTACTGTATAAACAATCCTATAGTGTGTCCTATATGCAAATCCTATAGGATACTCTATAAGAAATTCTATAGTGTTCTGTATAAACAATCCTATAGAATGTCCTATAAGCAAATCCTATAGGATACTCTATAAGAAATTGTATAGTGTACTGTATAAATAATCCTATAGTATGTCCTATAAGCAAATCCTATAGGATACTCTATAAGAAATTGTATAGTGTACTGTATAAACAATTCTATAGTATGTCCTATAAGCAAATCCTATAGGATACTCTATAATCAGGACAAGCAATTTATCACTAGATTCAAAATCTCTGAGACGTGATCTGATGCAAGTGTATTATGACAGTTGTAGGCCCAATAAAGGAATTCCCCAATAAGGAAATTCCAGAGTGGGTGCATCCCCAATGGTTAATGGAATAAACAATTGTAAAATCATATGAGGGGATCAACAAAGAACGACCTGAAAAGTGCAACCAAAGAAGTTGGTAAGACCTATAAACCTCAGTTATCACACGAAAGATATGCAAAGAACATTTCATTAGAGAGGGAGAGAGAGTGGAAATGTTGAGAAACATCCCTCCCCTCAACTGGTAAGAGAGACATCAGTGTGGAGATGCAAGATACAATTAAAAACTCTACATGTTTCAATGGAAAATGTTCCACCATCTTCAACAGATCGGAAAAACCACGGGAAATTTCATTTTTTATTTTTATACCAGCAAGTGCACAAGTATAATTTACATATTATACAGTGCCATCTACAGAATAAATTTCCAGAACTTCATTTCTGTGGCACCAGGGCCTAGATCTTTATTCAAAATCATTTATGTTTAATTATTTCAAGAGATTCTATTATGCTTATTCACTTTTAGCTTAACTTCTTTAAGTATTTGAACCATATTCTATTGAATGTTATGGAAAGAGTTTGCCACAAGTTTCGCCAAGGCCGAATCACTATTTTAATTTTTCAACAGCGTTTTTGTGTTCATCAATTCAAAAATTCAAATTTCTGCTTGTTTGTCCAATGCAATTCAAGTTACAATTGCAAGAGATTTTATATACCCCACATTTATCCTTTAATTCAATTTTGTCTTTAATACCATTAATGATATTCATTTTTTAGGAACACCTTGTCTATTTTGTTGCGAGTGATGGAACATATGGTAAACATAGTCTTTCTTTATTAACCTTACTTATTATCTGAAGTTTGGTGTATTCTGAAATTTGTAGTTTATTACAGTTTTTATAAATCCTATCTATAATACCAGGCTCAAAACCTCTATTGATGGCTATATATTTCGAATAATTCAGTTCAAGCATAAGATCTTCATTATATGTAGAACCTATAATGGCCCTATGGACAAATGATGAGAAAGAAAACATTTTTTGTGACAATGGGTGACACGATCTTGCATGCAGCAGCATGGCAAATGAGAATGGCTTTCTGTATACTGAAACCCATTCTCTCTTTTCACCAAAACATCCAAAAAATGTAAACAGCCCCTTCTTCCATTTCTAAAGTGAATTGTACTGTAGGGCTGACAGAATCAAGATGTTCCTGGAAATCAATTAATGTATCATTGCCATGTCGCTGCACCAGAAACAGGTCATCCACATATCTCACCCACAAATCTGGTTTTTTTCACTGATGTTTCAACATTAAATATGAAAATTTCTGCTAACAGAGGTGATAAAGGTGACCTCATGAACAAACCTTTAATCTGTTTATTAATTTTACCACCCACCTTAAAATAACTATAATTTATTCATAATTTTGTTAAATTTAAAATATCATCTACTTCTAGACATGAAAACATTTTGCTAGCTAGTAAGCTATTTTCAAAATAACATAGTACTTCTTCTATGGGTACATTTGTAAACAGTGAAATTAATCTGTCATTTTCCTCTATATTGAAATTTTTAATCTTAATAATAAATTCTGATGAATTTTTAACTGTAAATACATGAGAATTTGTTAAAAAAGAACAATAAACTTGGAAATTAACAATGTTGATGATCCATTATCAACAATAGGGCAGAATGGTATCCCAGTTTTAATGTACTTGCTGTAGAGCATAAAACAAGGTAAAATAAAGTAATATGGCATAAGATTTCTTTGTTCATTCATTGTTAAGGTAAGGCAGGTTTTTTACAACTGTTTATTCTGTATTACATTTCTTGGATCTTTATTTCCATGTACACACCATCATTCGGAAGATTTTTAATATTATCTTTATAATCGTTTTTATCTAGTAAAACAATCTGTCCTCATTTGTCTGCTTTAGAAATTATAATGTTATTATTATTGGGAAAACAATGTAAAATTGCTTGAGAACAACCTTGGTATAGGAGTCTAACCTGGTCTGTAAGAAAAGGGGACAAGACAAAGGTCATGGATATAAGATGAAGAGATGTGGATACTCAAAAGAAAAGCAATATAACAGAGATCACAAAAACAAGGAAATCAGATCAAAATAAAGGCAGCAGAGAAAGAAATATAAACTCCAGTGGTAAACACAGAAAAACAATTGCCCCCATCAAGGTCATGATGAAAAACTACAGTGAGGAAGAGAAGGTCAGAGATAAAACTAAGGGGCAAATTAACTAAAGACTAAAAATGGTAGATAGATAAAAATAAAAAGACAAAGAATGAGAAAGAGGAGCACACCAAGCAGAGAGAAAGGACAGATGAGACTGGGACTTAAGAATTATAAAGTGGCCACAACCTGAGACCATTGCAAAGGAAACACAAAGTAGGGCAAGAAAGGTGAGGAACAATGTGGAAGTTGGACAAAGGAAGGCTTACAAAGTAAAAACAACCAAAGAGTCATTATGATATACAGGTAAGAGAGACAGAATAACATGCACCTGGTTCAAGAGTGTAGTGAACAGAAAAATAGAACCCTTATCCTCATGAAGGAGAGAAAAGACAGAAGCAAAGGCTGGATGTAGAACAGTTGGCTGAAATCATCCAAAGGAGAGGCAAGCATCACAAATGGCAATGAAAACAGAATGACAAGGGACCTGAACTGGAGAAGTAAGTAGAAGGGAACCAATTATCTGATGCATGATAGCGGGAACATTATCAGTTAATTTGTTATTACACCACAGTTCAACCCAACTCCATAAGGTTGTGGTAATTTAGGTTATCCACGATGTTGACAGCACCTTGCCACAGTGTAAACTTTGAGACCTGTCACATGCAGGCATGTGCTTTACTAAGTGAGCTAATGGGATCAGTTCCATGAACAGATAAGCTGCCTCCAATTGCCAATTGAGTGAGTTGGAGAAAATACCTGCATCTCAGTACATTTTATCTTTCTTTTGGCATATGTTGTTGAAAGTAGTATACAGCAGAAATGTAGTGGATAAAGAAAACAAAGTTGCAATCAGGTGAATGGAAGGAAAGTGTAACAAGAATTAATGTAGCACTAAATAAAGAAAGGCAGTATATCAAAGCAACTAGAAACTCAAAAAAGCACAGAAAATAACATCTGAACACAGGCATGTGCTAATGCTCACAGGGATTACTGCACATGAAGGTTATGTCACCTTCCTGTTGGTGGAGGGCTACAGCATTATGACAATTACATCATAGTCTGGCACAATATACATAGACACATGTATGGGTGTGAGTTTGTTCAATACTTGAGGCATGCACAGGAAATTTCACAGCAGTTGCATTTTAGGTAACAGCTCTTAGTGGTGCAGAGAGGCAGGTAACATTTATGAAAATCATGACAACTGGAGAGCACTGACAACATTATATATAAAACTAACTTTAAGAAATCTAATGTCAAATGGTTTACAGACCTAAATATCCAAGTATTTTTTTTAATGCTAAATAACAATTTCAATCAAAAAGCAAAAATTTATCACTAATAAAAAAATATTTCAGGTAGGTAGTCTAACAAAAGAAATAGTCTGTTAACAGAGTATAAAATGATTGTGGAACTCCACTCACCGAGCCATTGCAAGCCTGACATTATCAGCATACAAACGAGGATTCTCTTTTTCCTTATCATTAGGTTGATATACAGGAAGATACTAATTAATACAGTTAAAAAAAATTTGATAAGTTATTCTGTTAAACATGATTCACAAAACAACTGATACTTCCTTGTATTTCCTGTTTCAAATATATTTTTTACTTTCAAATATGTGCAATAATTCTTAAAAATGTGAAAACACAGTCTCTAATTCAATCTAAGTTGTTTGAAAAAAACCAGAGATAAATGAACATATTTATCAAACACGTAAAGAGATTATACAAATAGTTTTTACTAATTTTTAGAAGAGTCAATATTTCTGTTCAAAATAACATACTACCTCACAAATTAACATAAAGATTTTTTTACATAAATAGTGGATTAATATGTATTTACCTCGATTTCACAATAGTTTTGAAACTGACATAGAGAAAGCCACAGGAGCTTTAGCCTGAAAAAAAATTTTTCTCATAACTTAAAACCTATTATTCAATCAGACATTCCTACAATTGATTTTTCAAAACTGATGGTTGCATACAAAAATTACCAAATTAACTGATGTGCTATGTTTGATTTTTTTTTAATTTTCAGAAAACTATTTCTAACCTTGAAATTTCATGAGGCCAATATTACTGATTTGCTGTTCCTACTTATTCATGTACCTCCTTTTTCAACTGCTTAGGTAGCTAATAATTTGGAACCTTAAAGTAATGATGTACAATAAGTGTTACAGCCAATTAAAAGGGAAGACATATTAGCCCTCTCAATACAGGTAGCTCATTGTGTGCGTGTCACAAATTTTTAGAAAGTTACATTCAAAATGTAATTAAACTACTATATTATTGCTGTATACAAGTAAATTTGGCATCAAAATATAGTTTACAAATCTAATTTTAATATTATATAGGTTTTAAGTACTTAATTTTAAAAACAAAGTATGAGAATTGTGATGTTTGTTCTCTAGGTTTTCCCTCTTCTCTAATATATTTAACACCCTTCTGAGAAGTATGGAATTTAATGTAAATTACTCATTATAACACAGATATTACTAAGGCAAAGCATAATTTCTATAGCCTTCAATTTTATTTTGTTACAGAGTTACAAACCAGAAAATCAGACCAACTTGCCATGCCCACCTGTCACAACCACTGTTTCATACGTTGCCAACAATTCTTTCTGACTTTTTATACTATATTATTTACAACCAAGTCGAGGTTTTAATCTATCAAATGACATATTATATTACACTGTTTTCAGTACAGAGAATTGACTATTTCATCTTCAGTTTGAAATTTTCTGTCACAGTCCTCAGATCAACAAGCTTAAGGTGAAACATATTTATTGCCCTGTGAAACGTGTCTAACTACTATCTGCGACATTATAAGTTCTAAACCACTCGGGCAACATGCACCTCACGTTACCCTAACAAATTACATTACCCACGAGCTACTATCAGCTGCTAGGGGTGTGTGCCTCATGAAACATTTTTATTATAATATTATTATTATTATTTATTTTACTTAATCTAATCTTAACTAACCTAAAAGGATCCCA